GATTCTCTGCAAGCTCCAATCCTGATGCCCTGTAAGCTTCAGAAATAGCCTCACACAGCCAGTGTGAGAGACGCTGAGTGGATAAAGGGCGACCTGCAGAGGTGTCCCTATAATGCACAAACAGACGCTGAGTCTGACGCAGTGTGTCCGTGCGTGCTATGTACATGCCAGCGAGCGCACGGGACAGAGAAGATGAGATGATGCTTCCTCCTCTGATTTGTGAGGGTAGGGTGGGGGGGGGGGGATAAAACCCCTCCAATGTTATCATTCTCGATTTAAATGAGCTTGTGATGTTTTTTAGTATGAAAGCTGGGTTAGGTCTCAATGAAGCTGAGCTGCCATCAGCTTGAATTCTGAGGCATGACGGGGCAGCAGAGAGCGCAGATAAATCGCTCACTCTCTTTGCTGATGTCAAAGTCAACAGCAGTTTTAAGTGACAGGAATTTGTGACACCTGATCTAAAGGCTCAAAAGAAGCTTTGATCAGAGCTTGCAGAACCATCGTTAGGTCCCACTGTGGAGCTAGTGGGCATGACACCGGTCTGTGTCTCCATATACCTTTAAGGAAACGCTTCATCAGCATGTGATTAAAAACTGTTCTGTCACCGAAGCCCTTGTGACAAGAAGAAATACCCGCAGCATAAGTTTTATTCTGCTAAAATCTAAATTTCTGTCCATCAGCTGCTACAGAAAGGACAGAACGCCACCTAGTGGACATGAGATGGCCTCTACAACTTTCTCCATGTACCAGAGCTGAAAAGCTGTCCACTTTGATGTGTACAGCGCTGTGGTGGAAGCGGCTTGAGAGTCTTGGATTGTGTGCACCACTTCTTGAGAGTGACCCATTTTCACTAAGCGGATCCGCTCAGCGGCCAGACGCAAAGGTGCTGTCCTATTTTTGGGTGACTTCTGATCGCTCCTCCCACCTGGAGGACAGTGTCATCTCTCCATGGCAGCTTCCACGGCCAGCCCGATAACAGACGTTGCAAGTTTGGGAACCACGGGGCGCTCACGCACTCGGGGGCTACAAGGACGGCTGACAGTTCTTCCTCCCGAACTCAGTTCAGAAACCGTGATATTAGAGGGACAGGAGGAAACAAGTAAAAGCATTTGTGGCCACGGGCTGTGGGCAAAAGCGTCCACTCCTAACAGTGGGTCGTCCCGTGGGCTCAGTGAGAACCATAATTGACACTGGGCGTTCTCCCGTGTGGTGAACAGATCCACTGCTGCTCGGCCAAACCTGCTCCAAATCCGAGAAATCAGCTCGGGATGGAGACTCCAGTTTCCGTGGCGAGGACCACCCCTGGACATTATGTCCGCTCCTCTGTTCAGGACGCCAAGGATGTACACTAATCTGATGGAGAGCAGGTTTTTGTGTGCCCAAAACAGCAGCTGTCTCGCAATGTGTAACAGTTGGGCTGAGCGCATGCCCCCCTGCTGGTTTATGTAAGCTGCAGTAACTCTGTTGTCTGTGTGGATCAGAACATGTTGATTCTGTAACAGAGGAGCAAAATGCTGAATCACAGAGTGAGAGGATTTCCCCAGTGATTCAGGTTGGATCCCACGGAGGGGGGTACAGAGATCATTCGCCTCTTCTGGTGCAACGGATCTATGTGCAGGTGGGCGAACCATCTCTGAAGGCACTTCATGTGGAGTAAGCCCAGAGGAACCACAGCGTGAGCTGAGGACATCGTACCCAAAAGTTTCATAATCAAGACAGCCGTTACTACCCTGTTGGGTTTTACCTGGCAGAACTGAGCTGTCAGAGCTTCGGCTCTCGGCTGTGATAAGCGGGCTCTCATAGTGACTGAGTTTAGCTCCACTCCCAGGTAAACAATCATCTGGGATGGGAGAACCAAACTCTTTTCCCAGTTTATGGCAAAACCCAGGTTCAGCAGGTGTGACGTCAGCGCTTTGGTTTGTGCCGCTGCTTCCTGCCTGGATCGAGCTAGCAGCAACAGATCGTCCAGGTAGAAAATAATTCTCATTCCTGCTCTGTATAATGGCTGCAGAGCTGTCTCCACGCATTTTGAAAACTTGCGTGGGGCGAGGGAATAGCCGAACGGGAACCTGTTGTACTGTTACTGGGTCCCCTGGAAGGAAAAGCGCAGGAACTTTCTGTGCTTTGAAATGATCAGTATGTGAAAATAAGCTTCTTTTAGATTTATGGAGGTAAACCAATTGTTCTGGTGAATGTTGTTCAACAGCTGTTTGGTTGTCAGCGTGTGGAATTGTCTCTCCATGATCGATTTGTTGAACATGGACAAGTTGAGGAGGGGTCTCATTCCTCTGGTCCTTTTTGGGACCAGGAAGTAACGTGAGTAGAACCATGTGTTTTCCTCTCTGCTGGGAACCCCGGAAATTACATTTTTTATCAGTAGTTCCTGAACTTCTGAGTGGAGAGACCAGTTCTGTTCTGGAGATGACAGAACCGTCTCTATAATCCCTCTGAACGGTGGGGGTTGAGCTGCGAACTGCAACATATAACCCTTACTGATCAGATGGTCCATCCATCTGTCCAGGGAACACACTCCCTGCCACTCTGCATATCGCTCGGAGAGCAGGCACACGTTTTTGTGTTGTGTCATGTCTTTTACGGACGTTAGCCAAGTTAAAGCCCCCACCGCTGTCACTTGCTCCGGAGATAATCCTCGAGCGACCCAAGGGGGGGCCTCGCAGAAATGGCCCTGGAAATGCCTCTGTGCTACGCTCAGGCTGCGGGCTCACATTAGTGATGATGTGAGCTGACGCGCACTGAGGAAAGGCATGAGCGCTTTTAGAAATGCAACGCCGTTTGGATGAAGACTGCAGATGGATGCCGTGAAGAAACACGTTTGCCCCCGCTACGGTCAGAAATGTCAGAAAACAGCCTGGGCTGAAAGCGAGGGTCTTTTCTGGTCTTGGTCTGCTGAAAAAGATCATTTCTAGCTGATGTGTCAAGCGAGAATTTTGTATTATTTCTCGAGCTGCGGTGACTTTTACAAACCTGCTTTGAGGTTACTGGCTTGTTTTGTGTGGAGGATGTGTGAAGAGAGGCCGCTGTGAGATCATTCGATCTGACAGTCAGGCTGGAATCAGAAGACACGTTACTCTCTGAATGATGTTTTCGTTTTATTTTAAACTCATATCATTGTGAACACACACATCCTCTGCAAAGCATCATTTCTTGTGTCATCTCCCCCATGGGCCCTGCGGCTGGTTGTTCCAGGGCGACGCCTGTTGGTGATCTCTGGGTAAGCGCTGAATCACTGGTTGATGCAATGAGAGGGGCAGTGGGACTGAGGGAAAATTCTGCTCAGTAAACCCTTCCACTCTGGTGATGGGAGGTCCGGCTGCAGCCTTGTTCCAGTAGGATGTCACTGCCGGGAAACGAGGCCAGATGGGGTCAGGGCGGCGAGCTGGGATGGAGCCAAACCTTCCCGCTAGAACATCCGATCTGGGTGGGGGAGAGGAGAGGAACGGAAAGTCCCTTCGTGTCACCCGCCTCCTGGATTATCCTGGGAAGCTCCGAGAGGAGTGCACCGACAGCTGGGAGCGGTGTGTTCGCCGATGCGTAAAGGCCCGGGAGGAGCAACACTATGCTCTCCAGGAAGGAATGAGCAATGGGGCTGCTGATGACGTCGCCTTTTCTGGAGGAATCATCCGATTCGCTCCGTGACTCTGCTTCAAAAAAGGCGATGACGTGGTCCAGCGAACAGTCTCCCATCATGGAGAGACACTCCTCGATATTAGCCTTGAACGAGGCTGCTCGTCTCTGCTTCTCCTCAGGATGGAGGAGGTCATAGGGACGGTAGGAGGAGGCGAGGTCAGCGTGGCGGGGACCCAGGCATCCTTCACAGATGTTGTGCTGGTCAAAACTCAAAATGTGGCCAGTCTGGTAGGACGAGCACAGGCGGATGGTGTTGGATATCGTGTTCTTGTAAAAGCAGTGCTGGTTGCTTGCTGAAGAAAAAATGGGAGTCGATTACCCGGTCTCACCGTAATTTATTCGGACCGAGAGTGAGGCCCAAACAGCAGGTGGGCATGGACTAAGGTTTTCAGTGCTGCGCTGCGCGCGAAGGGATAAACCCACTAGCAATAGCCTTAAAGGGCAAAGCCTATACAAAATAGAACAGTCCAGGCTCAACACAGGACCAGAACTAGAACGTTGTTGCTGTGAGTTACGGTGTGGAGGTTAGCGTGTAGCATTCTAAGCTAACCACAGTAGTAGTGACGCTAAATCATAAAAAAAAAAAGTTCCAACACACACACAGTTATACTCTGACATTGTTCTGACATTGTTTCACAAAATGATTTATATAGAAGTTTTTGTTTACCGGACAAAAAGTGCACGACGTCTTCGAGGGCAGATCCTTAGCCAGACTCTGCGGTGAGCTCCTCTGGAGGAGGTCCTTCTCATCTCCTTGTTTTTGGGAGGGATTAAGTGAAAACTGCGCTTTGCCCAAATGTCTCCCCGGTTGTAACATTCTCTAACCCAGCACAAAACAACCATTTCAATTTACTTAAAGGAAAAAAAAAATTCTAAACTCGAGAAAATTAACTACCTGTAAACTGCACTGTGTCTGTACCTGTTGCTAGAGGTAGCACCCCAACATGGAGGACGTACCGGAAATGCCCCTGATGTTACGTCACATGGGAACTATGTATAGCAAGTGGCCCTCAGGGCATTGGTCTCCTTTATCATGTGAAGAGCTAGTTTTGGCTGTCACCAGCAAACTGGTTGATCCACTATGCTAGGTGCTATTTATAAGACTGAGTTTAGTGCAGCTCCTCAGAATGGCAAAGTCTTGGGTAAAAGATGAAATGTTTCAACTTTTTTTTTTATCTGTCCAGAAGACCTGACTTAACTTTATTAGATTTTTCTATCTGGATTATTCAGCATAAATCAGGATGTTTTTTGCAACAGTTACCTTCAAAAAGATGCGATTTACTGAAATACTAACTAAAGACATGTTGAATCAGGGACACAGAGGGATGTAAAAGCAGATGTTAAACACTCACCGGATGACAGTGGGGAAGATTTCGGCTGAGTAGATATAAATGATGGACAAAGAAGCTGTGATTCCAAACTTTCCAATCATAGCCAGGACTGTTCTGACTACAGAGAAGTCTAAAAGGAAGGTGAAAGAACATCTTTTCAGAAAACGTGAAAACAGTGCAGGTAATTCCTTTTTTTAAGCAAGCGGTATGCTGATGTGCCCTGATGCTGAGGGATTTGAATAGTGAATGTAGTGTGGAAGAAGAGTGCTTTTCTGAACTAGAATTTAACAAGAAATGCAAATACAGTAAACCCAACAATTTTCAGTCAGGTCATCAGGACAGTTTCTGGACCGTTTTCTAGACAGAAACAGTCCAGATGACCTGACTGAAATTTGTTGGACTGTGTAACTGGATTATTGAGCATGGACATTTTTGGTCAAATACAGTAAACCTAAATATTTTTGATGCAACATATTCAAGTGGGAACCTCTACCTCTATCCTTCTACAGTACAAGGATAGAGGTACATTTTTTTGTTCTATTTTGTATAGGTTTCGTCCTTTAAAGCTAGTGGGTTTATCTTTGTGCGTGAAGCACAGCGCTGAAAACTTTAGTCCACACCCAACTGTTGTGTGGGCCCCACCACCGGTCAGTAATAAATTGCCCTGAGACCGAGGTTTGGCTTCCCTTTTTCTTCAGCCAGTAAGTCCGAGTCAGAGTCAGAGATTCTTTATTGTCCTTCGCACCTCATGTGGTACATATGGTGGAGCGAAATTATGTACACAGGATCCCAGTTACATCCAACAATAAAATGTAAAAGAAAAACAATGGTAACATCTAAGATATGAACTAAGAAAAACATCAACTAAATATACACTAAGCACTAATAGCATAAAAATATTACGTCGAACATCAGCACAAACATGAATATGAGTCTGTGTAAGCAGATGAGCATGCATGAACACATCAACATTGAAACAGATCAGCAGCGACAGTGAAACAGATCAGCAGCAACATGACATAATTTTTTCACAGTGATTATTCTGGTTAGAGATACATGAGTCTAACAGCCTCAGGGTAGAAGCTGTTCCTCAGTCTAGGCTCTACACTTAATGCTCTTCAACCTCCTTCCTGAGGGGAGTGGGGCAAAAAGTGTGTGTGCTAGGTGAGTGGGGTCCTTCATAATGCAGGTGGCTCTCTTCCTGAATCTGGAGGTGTAGATGTCTGTGATGGTGGGGAGACCGACTCCAACAGTCTTCTGTGCAGCCTTCACCACTCTCTGCAAAGCTTTTCTTTCTGCAGCTGTGCAGCCTCCATGCCACATGTTGATGCTGGAGCACAGGATGCTCTCCATTGCACACCTGTAGAAGGAGGTGAGGACTGAGCTTCCCAGACCAGCTTGTCTCAGCCATCTGAGGAAGTAGTCTCTGATGAGCTTTCTTGATCAGGCAGGTGGTGTTGTTGCCAAGGTCCTGGAGACCTTGGTCAGTGAATAACTGAAGAAATTTCTAACATTAAATTATTTTCTATCACATTCTCAGTCTGGTTTTAGGAAAATGCATAGTACCACTAAAGCAGCACTAAAAGTGGTTAATGATTTTATTGATCTTTTGGATAATAAGCAACACTGTGAAGCCCTGTTTATCGATCCCTCCAAAGCATTTGATACAGTTAATCATGAGGTTTTATTACAGAAGTTTCACGCTATTGGCTTGTTAGAACAAGCTCTTCGTTGGTTTGACAACTATCTGACCAATAGATCTCATTGTGTTTAAGTAGGTGGTTTAGCTTCCTCTTCTCTCCATATACTAAATGGTGTTCCTCAGGGGTCAATGCTGGGACCGATTTTGTTTATTATATATATATAAATAGTCAATGCAAATGTGCCTCAAGCAAATTTTCATTTTTATGCTGATGATACTGTTTTATATTGTGCTGGTCTCTCACCTAACAATGCTTTTAAACAATTACAGTCAGCTTTTAATGTTTTACCGACAAATCTTTATCACCTTAAGCTTGTTTTAAATGCAGATAAATCGAAGGTGACGCTGTTTTCCAATGGAAGATTTGAAAGTAAGGATCTTCCTTCGTATTTGTTGGCCTTTATAAAGAGAAAGTCCACCGGAGGATACTCTCTTCGTTGTGAGAAATTATTTTTACTTTCAGTGCTTAAAGTCCAAACTGAACTCAGAAAGAAATCTTTTCAGTTTTTTGCTCCATCTTCTTGGAACCAGTTGCAGAAATACATGAACCAAAAGGAGCTGTTGCCACTAAATGTTTTTAAGGTTGTTCTTACTGATTTGGAGAAGGAATCATCTGTCTCTAAATGACTGAGGAATCTTTTAAATAATTTGTTTATGACGGGGTTAACTTTTTCTGTTTTTGTTGTGAATGTTCTGTAACCTCTGTGTGCTGCTGCCAGTCTTGGCCAGGATTATTAGTTAGAAAAATTAGAAAGAGTTATTAATTTTGTTCTGTTACTTGAAAATTATTATGATTGAACTAATTGTTTGAAAAAAGGGGCAGATATAATAAGATTTTTTCTTCTTTCTGCCGCCTTTCATTTTAAATCTCTTGTATTTGTTTTATATTGTTATGGAATTGCTTCGTATTTTTTAAAATGAATAAACTTTATACCATTACCATTACCATTATCTTGCAAAAGAGATTTTTAATCTCAATGGGATTTTCCTGGTGAAATAAAGGTTAAATAAAATAAATAAATAAATAACTGTCTTTGAGTCTTTTTGTGTGCAATGGCAGACTCCTGTATCGTCTGCCTGAGGGTAGTAGACAGAAGAGTCCTTGTGCTGGGTTGGTGTGGTCCTTAATGATTTTGCGTGCTTTACACAGACATTAGCTGTGGTAGATGTCCTGGATGTTGTGGAGACTGCTACCAGTGATGTCCTCTGCTGTTTGCACCACCCTCTGTAGTGCTGTCCGGCTCTGACTGGTGTAGTTCTCGTACCACCCTGTGATGCAGCCTGTCACCAGACTCTCAATGGTGCACCTATAAAAGTTGGTGAGGATGCTGGTGTTCATGCCAAACTTCTTTAGTCTTCTTAGGAAGTAGAGTCTTTGTTGGGCTTTCTTGACCACAGTGTTTGTATGTAAAGTCCAAGATAGCTCCTCAGTAACGTGAACGCTGAGGAACTTGAAGCTGCTGACTTGCTCCACCTCAGCGTTGTTTATGTGGATGGTGGAGTGCTGACCTCCACTCTGTTTCCCAAAGACTATCATCTCCTTTGTTATGCTGACATTGAGAGATTATTTTCAATTCAGTTCAGTTTATTTATATAGCACAAATTTGCAATAGAGTTGTCTCAGGGCACTTTAGAGAAACATTCACATACATAAAAAAGTCAATTAGTAAAGTTCTCTCGGGAATTTTCTTGACATCAACTGGTCAGTAATTTCACCTCATTTCCGTAGGCACTCTCATTTTTATTGGTGATGAGGCCCAAGATGGTGGTGTCATCAGCATACATGAGGATGACGTTAGAGCTATGCTTGGGGGTACACTCGTGTAAATAAAGAGTACAAGAGTGGACTGAGGACACAGCCTTGAGGTGTACTGGTGCTGAGGACTTGTGTGGAGGAGAGGTGACAGCCAATTTTCATTGCCTGTGGTCTGTTGGTGAGGAAGTCCAGTAACCAGCAGCAGATTAACTCCTCCAGGCCTAGTGTGGTGAGCTTGGAGACCAGTTCAGATGGGATTATGGTGTTGAATGCTGAGCTGTTGTCAATGAAAAGCATTCTCACATAGGTGTTTACCTTCTCCAGATGGCTGAGGGAGGTGCTTAAAGCAAGTTGTGCTTTGTTTTGTGTTTTATATGTAGATACATGTGGTAACCTGGTTGCATATGTTGAGTCTTTGTTAAAACTAAATTGATTTTGTAGAAAGTGTTTAATAGTGTAGTGAACTAGGCCTCCGACAACAACCTGTCTCTGAAGACCTTCATGGGACAGGAACTGTTATTTCATTGATTTGAATCCAGAAATACAAATTATCTCATCACGAGACTATTTACGTATCCTGAATTAATCAATTGAAAGAACACTCTTCTTTTTATCTAAAAAAGTTCAATCTGGTCCTCTGGACATTCAAAAAAAACTAAACAAAGCAAAACAACAAAAAAATGTAGAAACGTTTCGTCTCTCATCCAAGAGACTTCCTCAGTCTGAGGTGCTGTATTCAGCTCAGTCTCTTAAATAGCACCTTGTCAGAGTGGATAAACCAATTTTGCTGCTGACAACTAAAACCAGCTGATCACATGCTCAAGAAGGACCATCAGCCTAACAATGGATCATTAGCACACTGATGGCTGTTTACTATTCACAGAGGGCTGAGTGATACTAGCAATAACAGCATTGTAAGAGGGGGACAGTTGAACCCGGAGGCCTCCACCCCTGTTTAACGATGGACGATTTCTTTTCACAAAGATGGCCTCCTTTACTCCTCTCTCAAACCATCGTTCCTCTCTGTCCAGGATGTGAACATCTTCATCCCTGAAAGAGTGACCGCTGGCCTGGAGATGAGTGTAGACCGCAGAGTCCTGGCCTGATGATGTTGATCTTCTGTGCTGGTCCATCCTTTTGGCCAGTGGCTGTTTTGTTTCCCCGATGTAAAACTGATCACAGCCCTCCTGACACTGAACAACATACACAATATTACTCTGTTTGTGCCGGGGGACTGGATCTTTGGGATGAACCAGTCTTTAATGTATTTTGGGGTTTAAAAGCCACTGGGACGTTATGTTTAGAAAATAAACGTCTCAATTTCTCTGATACGCCCTCAACATATGGAATGACCACTGGTCTGGGTCTGAGTTCCTCCTTTTCACCTGTTGGCTGACTGGAGTCCTGTTTGGGTTTCTTCTCTGATTTCAGGAAGGCCCAGTTAGGATATCCACATTGCTCTAGAGCCTGTCTTGTGTGGGATTTCTCCTTCTGCCTGGCTCCTGAGCTAGTGGGGACGCTGTCTGCTCTGTGATACAGAGTCCTGATGACTCCTAACTTGTGCTCCAAAGGGTGATGGGAGTCAAACTGCAAATACTGGTCTGTGTGGGTGGGTTTGTGGTACACCTCAGTTTGCAAATGTCCTCTATCAGAGACTGAGACCTCACAGTCCAAGAAAGCCAACTTACCATTTTTTCATCTTCTCATGTGAACTTGATGTATTTATCCACAGAGTTGATGTGGTCAGTAAAAT